CAAAAGAAGAGAATTAAGTCAGCAGAAAGCACAAACCAGTATTTTGTAAAGGAAGCGGGCTGGGGAAGGAAAGGAAGTAATGTGTCCCTAGGACAATTGTCAAACTTCCTCTTGGTTTGACTTGGAATTTGCATTGAACCATCTATTCCTACTTCTATGATTCACTTATTAAAGTGAGAATAATGGAGATTCCCATTGTATTTTTCACCTGGTGTTTGTGTCCTTTAAGTATTGGCTATTCAAAGGGCCACACTTGAGGACCTAGAGGGCCATATGTGGCCTCGAGGCCGAAGGTTCCCCACCCCAGTTTAGGTTTTCCTCCTTCCCTTGCCATGGCCTCCACTTCTCAGTCCTCCTATCATCCCCTCCTTGCAGATTTAAGATTCCTTTTAACTCTGTGCTTTTATCCTTATTAGTGGGAAACCAAACTGGGTCAGTTTCATGCTGTTTTTCCACTTTGGAGTTCATTCCACAATTAGCTAGAACGGGGAAGGTGAGGATTTAAAGAAACAGCCACCCCTCCCCCCCCAAAAAGGAAAAAAAAAAACCCCACCTCATCCCAATAAAGCCCATTAGGAACAGTAGCTGTCATTGATCTTATATCTGTGTCTACATAAAACAAAGTGGAAAACTGAAGTAGTTAGGATTTTTAAAAGCTCAGTTACCTAGATGCTCCAGGCAAAAACTTTTTAACTTTTGGTCTCATCTACATAATTGTTTTCATTTGTCCTCTTTATATACTGGCTTCTTCACCCTAAGGGAGAAAAGGAACCTAATAGGGTCATAGTTCCAGAGGTGGAAGGGACCTCAGAAGCTACCTAGTCCAACCGCTTCATTTTACAGATGTGGAAACTGAGGCCCAGAGAGGGGAAGTTACTTGCCCAACCAAAGTCATAGTTAGGGATTGGGAAGGAATGGAGCAGGGAGTGAAGGGGAACACATGAACCTGAAACATAAGGACAATTTGTTTCACTTTGCCTTGGTAGACACCACCTGATATTAACATTAGGTTTCATTCTCCTCCCTCTGACATCACTGTTTCCGTGGCACCATCATTAAACCTATTTCCCTTCCCATGTCTGTAACATTGGCGATCCTTTGATACTTGTCCTTACTTCTAGCATTGAGCCAAAAAGTCTTGTTCTCATAGATGGTATAGAAGAGACCTTAGAGATCAATTTCCTTTCCCCTCAATTTTGCAGATGAACAAACAGGTGAAATAACTTGCCCAAGGTCGTAAGTGGGAGAGGAATAGATACAGAGCTGGAAGGGACCTTGGAGGTTATCCAGTCATTTTAGAGATGAAGAATCAGGTTCAGAGAGGTAGTGACTTGCTCAAGTTCACACACTTAGCAAATGTTGGGGGTGAGGAATGGAACCCAGGTCTTTCTGTCAGCAAGTGCATTACTCTCTCCTCTATACCCTAAGGTCCTGAGACTCCATATTCAGTCCTCTTTCCACTGTACCACAAAAGACCATTTAAAAAAAAAATTAAAAAAATGTTTTTTTTTTTGGCTAGGCAATGGGGTTAAGTCACTTGCCCAGAGTCACACAGCTAGAGTCAAGTGTCTGAGGCCACATTTGAACTCAGGTCCTCCTGACTCCAAGGCCAGTGCTCTATCCACTGGGCCACCTAGCTGCCCCCCAAAAAGACCATGTAAATGATCCTGCCTTTGAGGTCTTCTTCACATTCATCCCATCATCTCTTTTCTCACTGTCTCCACCTCAGAAGGAGCTCTCATAACCAGCATCTGTGATTTGTAACAGTCTTCTTAGGAGTCTTCCTCATTTCTTTCTCCTCCACTTCACCCCCCCCAAATCTGTCTCTCATACCATTTTCAGATAACATTTCTAATGAGGAGATCTGCCCATAGCAATAATTCAATAAAAAAAAAATGGCAGCTTAAGGTCCTTTGCCTGGTATCTAAAGTCCTCTACACCCTGAGGATCCAATGACTTTTCAGTCATATCTCATTTTAGTACTTTCTACAGACTTAAGATTGCAGACAAATCAAACTATCCTCTGACCCCTCCTAACATACCCTGAATCCCCTCTCCCCAAATACCTTAACTTGTTTATTATTCTTCAGTCATGTCTCACTCTTGGTAAACCCATTTGGGGTTTTCTTGGCAAAGATACTAGAGTATCCTCTAACTCATTTGACAGATGAGGAAACTGAGGTAAACAGGGTGAAGTGAGTCGACCAGGGTCACCCAGCTAGTAAGTGTCTGAGGCCAGATTAGAACTCAGGTAGGTGACTCTTCCTGACTCCTGACCTGGTACTCTGTCTACTATGCCACCCAGCTGCCCATAACTTAGCTGAGGTTCTTCTAGTGTCCTTCCTTTCCTTGTTGAATTTTCCTACCCATTCTTTAAAGTCCAACTCAAATGCAACAGTCCCTCACTCTCCTTGATTTCCCTTTTTATTACCACAATTTTAAAAAAGGAAGAACTCTAGTGACTTTTTAGTTGTCTTGGCTGGCAGTTAGAATAAGCTCTGGGGGCAGTTAGGTGTTGCAGTGGATAGAGCACTGGTCCTGCATTCAGGAGGACCTGAGTTCAAATCCAGCCCCAGACACATAACACTTACTAGCTGTGTGACTCTGGGCAAGTCACTTAACCCCCATTGCCCCCCCTCCAAAAAAAGAATAATCTCTGGATTGGTACTAGAGAAAGTGTGATTTCAAAGGTGAAGTTGGTTACCTTTAACCTCAGCAAGCACTTTGTTTAAGCCCAATGCTAACAATGCTCTTATGCAATATTACAAATGATGGCTATCTGTGTTTGTATCTTATCCTTCCACTAGATTGTAAGCTCCAGGAGGGTAGGAATCATAATACCCTGTCTAAACTCTGTATATCAATTCAATTCAGCAAACACTTACTAAGTGCCTACTATGCACACTGCACGAGGCCACTAGGGCTACAAACATCAAAAAAACAGGTTAACAGTTTCTGCTTTCAGAGAACTAGTAACAGATTAGTTTCATTCATTCGACGGTAGATTGAGAGCTAAGAGGGATGGACCTCAGAGATTAGACTAAACACTTCATTTCACAGATGAGGAAACTGAGGCCCAGAGTGGTAAAATGACTTGTCCGAAGATGGACAAGTAGTAAGCCTGGATTTGAAATCAGGTGTTCTGATGCTAAATCTAATGATTTTCTTTACCATGCTGTTCTGTCGTCTTGGTAATTCAACAAGCATTTATCAACTACAGTGAAAGGAAAATTGAGCTGGCGGATAGCATCAACAACCTTCCAGTGTGTGGGATCTGGGTAGGTCTCAAGTAGGAGTCTCTTTCTACCACGGACATTCTGCTGGAATTTGGGCAAATCCCTAATATCCTCTGAACCTCAGTATCCTCCTCTGTAAAATAAGGAGTTGGCATCTAAGGTCCCCTTCCAGATCTAAGTCTGATTCTGTGTTAGAATGAATCTGAGGCTTGTTAGCTAGTCACAGAACATAGGAATTATTTCAGTCTGTCGTGGTACTCTGGGCACCTATTAGGTGCTTAAGGAATGCATGTTGATTAATAGATAACATTATATAGGCATGAGGACTAGATTTGTTATTTCATTGGTGTAGGTTGGCACTTTCTCTCCACTATAGAGTCTGAAGAGTTTCCTAGAGAATGGGGAGGTTTGTACCACTTGCTCAGGGTCATATAGCTAGTATGGGTTGGAGGCAATATTTGAACCTAGCCCTGCTGCTTCTTATTATACCAATATTAATAAAGGCTTGTTAATCGATTAATATAAATGAATATTTATGCGATCCTTTTTACATCAGCCCTTTCCACAGAAGGTTTGCCTCCAACAGGGAAAATCTCTTCCCCACTGGGAACCCTGCATTATTCAGTGAAAAGGGCCCTAGATTTGGAGGCAGACGACCTGGGTTTGAAACTTACTGCTTCTGTGATCTTGGGCAATTCGGTTTCCCCAACTGTAAAATGAAGGGGTTGAACTATATGGCCTCTGGAGATCTTAGCAGCCTTAAGATTAAAATCCTATGACCCCTTTATAACAAGTCATTTAACTTCTCTGGGCCTCAGTTTCCCAATCTATAAAATGAGAGGCTTTCATTACATGACCTCAGGAGACCCTACCAGGTTTAAGATGAAAATCCTGTGGCCCCTTTACAATAAATCAGTTACAACACAACTTCTCTGGGCCTCAGTTTCCCAGTCTATAATACGAGGGGCTTTCATTATATGGCCTCTGGAGACCCTACCGGCATTAAGATGAAAATCCTATGTCCCTTTTGCAAGACGTCACTTAACTTCCTTGGGTCTCAGTTTCCTCAATTGTAAAACGATGGCCTCGGGAGACCCTACCAGTTTTAAGATGGAAAATCCTGTTACAACGTAACTTCTCTGGGTCTCAGTTTCCCCATCTGTAAGATGAGGGGATTGGGGTCTCGTGACTTTTATTACAGGTTACTTTCCCTCCGGGCCCCGGTCCCTATCTGTAGGGAGGGGGCTCCGCAGCCTCAGAGGCTCTCCTCCCCGGGCTCCAGATTTGTCCCCCCAGAGCCCAGCAGCAGATGCGGCGCTGGGGGCGGGGCGCGCCCCGTCTCCCTGGAGACCGCCCCTCCTCTCCCTCCAGCTCCGAGGCCGCGGCCGCTAGGGGTCGCGCTGGTAGCGGCGGCTCCCGCTCGCGCTCCCCGGGCCGCGGCCGCTGGTTGGTTCGTTTCCCTCCTCCCCCTCCCCCTCCCCACGCTCCCCGCCCTCGCGCCGGGCGGGGGGAGGGGGGAGCAGGCGGAGGCGTCCGTCCGTCCGTCGGCGCAGTGCGAACGCGGCCCACGACGCGGGTCCGGAGCGCAGCCCGCAGCTGACGCCGCCCGCCGCCCGCACGAGCCGCAGGACCCGCGCCCGCGCCGCCGAGGGAGCCGAGTGCCCGCCGGCCGCAGCAGCCGTTGTCCGCCGCCGCCCGGCCGCGCCGGGGCCATGTTGGGCCGGGGGCTGCGCTCGGCGTGACTCGGGGGCCCGCGCCCGCCCCCCCGCCGCAGAGTCCGGACAGCCGCCGGGGCCGTCCGCCCCCGCTCCCCGTCCGCATCTCCGGGCTCGGCTGGTAAGTACGGGGTCCGCGCGGGCCTCCGCCTCCGCCTCCGGCGGCGCCCAGGGCGGGGGCCGAGGGCCCGCGGGGCTCGGCGCTTTTTGTTCGCGAGGAAGACCCGCAGCCTCCGGGCGGCCACCCCGGCATTTCCGGGGCGGGGGGCGGGGTGGAGCCGGGCGGCGGGCTCGGTCCGTCCATCCGGCCGGCCGGCCGGCGGTCCGGCGGGCGGTCCGTGCCCAGGCTCCCCGGCGCTGCTCCTGCTCCTTCGCCGCCTTCTCCTCCTCGCCCTTCGCCTGGCTCGCCGTTCCCCTCTCCTTTCCCTTTACCTCTCGCTCTCCTCCTTTCCCTTTCCTTCTCTTCCCCGTACTCTTCCCCTCCCTGTCTCTTCGCTTGTCACTTTCCTTGCCCTGTTCACCCCCTCGCTTGGCCTCAGTTTCCTCCTCTGTCAAATTAGGGGGTTGGACCAGATGATCTCTAAGGTCCTTACTCTAAGCTCTAGTTCCTAAGGTCCTTCCTTTCCTTGCCTTCCCCCCTCCCCTGCGGCTGCCGCCTCCTTTTCCTCCTCTTCCCCCTCCTCCTCTTCTTCCTCTTCCTCCTCCTCCTCCACCTCCTCCTCCTCTTCCTCTTCCTCCTCCACCACCTCCACCTCCTTCTGTCTCCCCACCACGGGAGACGTGGGGAGGTGGAGGAAACGCTGGAGGGTCCCCCGAGACCGCTAATGTTGGCCTCCCCGAGGAGGAGGAGGAGGAGGAGGAGGAGGGGGCGGTGGCGGCGGCGGCGACAGCGACAGCAGCTGCAGCGGCGCAGCCAGGTCCGGGGACGGCGGTGGCAGGGCTGAGCCGAAGGCGAGAGGAAGAAAGGAAGTGGCAGGGCCGTCCCCTGGAGACCGGAGAGCTCCCTGGTCGCTGGGGGAGGAGGAGGGAGTTCGCTTCCAGCTCCTTGGAGACACGAGAGGGCGGGGAAGGAGAGAGAACCCAGACGAAGATGAGGGCCACCAAGTGGGAAGTGGGTCCCCCTCCTCGCACCCTCACCCAGCCCTGTGTCCTGGCCAAGAGCAGGCAGGGGGAGACCGTAGGGGACCCCCCCTAAGGAACTGTGCAGAGGAAGAGAGCCATGTGCTGCCAGAACAGATCTCTGCCGCAGTTACTTTTTATTTTTATTTTTTTTTAAGCGTCAGTGTTTTATAAAAACTCTGGATTCCTTTTCTCTCCTCTTCAGCCTCCTACACACTGACACATTCGTTCTCATCTGGACTTTTCCTCCTTTTTCTTCTTCCTATTCCTGTTCTCACCCACTCCTTGACTCCTTGTGGATGAGCAGTATTTTTGCTTTCAGAGCTTTAGGTTGTCTAACGACAGGATGCTTGTGCTTGTACTGACCCCAAACTGCTGTGAACTTTTCTTTCGTCCTCCCACCTCTTCCTTTTTGAGGTCTGTAATATCACATGGACTTGATATAGGTTATACGTGTGTAGTTACGCAGAACATATTTCCATATTAGTCGTGTTGTGAAACAAAACATAGGCCAAAAAAAAAACCCTCAAGAAAAATAAAGAAAGTAAAAAACAAGTATGCTTCCTTCTGTATTCAGACACCATCAGTTCTTTGTCTGGGGATGGATAGCATTTTTCATCTTAAGTCCTTCAGAGTTGTCTTAGATCATTGTATTGCTGAGAAAAGCTAAGTCATTCACAGCTGATCATGGTGCAATATTGCTGTTACTTTGTATACAATACATTTCACTTCCTCAGCTCATGTAAGTCTTTCCAGGTTTTTCTGAGAGCATCCTGCTCATAATTTCTTATAGCACAATAGTATGCCATCACAATCACATAGCACAGTTTGTTCAGCCATTCCCCAGTTGATGGGCATTCCCTCAATTTCCAACTCCCTGCCACCAGAAAACAGAAGCTGTAAGTATTTCTGTACACATAGGTCCTTTTCCCCTTTGTTTTTTGTTTTTTTTTTAATCTCTTTTTGAATACAGACCTAGTAGTGGCATTGCTAGATCAAAGGGTATCTGTGGTTCTGTAGCCCTTTGGGCATAGCTCCAATTCGTAACTCCACCATCAGTGCATTAATGTCTCATTTTCCCCACATGCTCTCCAACATTTGTCATTCTCTTTTTCTGTCCTTTTGGTCAATCTAATAGGAATTGGGTAGTACCTCAGAATTGTTTCAATTTGCATTCATCCAATCAACAGCTGTTGAGAGCATCTTCTCATATGGCTGTAGATGGCTTTGATTACTTCATCTGCAAATGATTCATATCGCTTGATCATTTATCAGTTGGGGAATGGCTCCTGTTTTTACAAATTTGACCCAGTTCTCTATATATTTGAGAAATGAGGCCTGTATCAGAGAAACTTGCTTCAAATTTTTTTTCACAGTTAGGATTGCTGAATATATTTCTTTACGTCCTATTCCTCCCTCCCGTATTCTGTTCTCTCTCTCCTATCACCCTGTCCCTCCTCAAAAATGTTTTGCTTCTAACTTCTGCCTCCCCCAATCTACCCTCCCTTCTATCATATGCACTCCCTTTCTCTTATCCTCTTCCCCTTCTACTTTCTTGTAGGGAAAGATAGATTTCTATAACCAGTTGAGTGTGTGTGATATTCCCTCTTTGAACCAGTTCTGATGAGTAAGTTTCGCTCACTCCCCCAATCTTCTCCTTCACTGTAAAAGCTTTTTCTTGCCTCTTATATGTGAGATACTTTACCCCATTCTATCCCTCCTTTTCCCTTTCTCCCGGTGTATTCTTCTTTCTCACCCCTTAATTCTGTTTTTTTTAGATATCATTCCTTCATGTTCAACTGACACCTGTGCCCTCTGTCTATATATACTCCTAACTGCCCTAATAATGAGAAAGTTTTTTGAGTTACAGGTATCATCTTGCCATGTAGGAATGTAAACAGTTTAGCCTTATTAAGTCTCTTATGAGTTCCTTTTCCTGTTTACCTTTTTATGCTTCTCTTGAGTCTTGTATCTGAAAGTCAGATTTTCTATTCAGCTCTGGTCTTTTCATCAAGAGTGCTTAAAAGTCCTCTATTTCATTGAAAATCCATTTTTCCGCCTAACGGATTATACCAAGTTTTGCTGGGTAGGTGATTCTTGGTTGTAATCCTAGCTCCTTTGCCCTCTAGAATATCATATTTCAAGCCCTCTGATCCTTTAATGTAGAAGCAGCTACATCTTGTGTTATCCTGACTGTGGCTTCGTGATATTTGACATGTTTCTTTCTGGCTGCTTGCAGTATATTCTCTTTGACCTGGGAGCTCTGGAATTTGGCTATAATATTCCTGGGAGTTTTCATTTTGGGATCTCTTTCAGGAGGTGATTGGTGGATTCTTTCAATTTCTACATTTACCCTGTGGTTCTAGGATATCAGGGCAGTTTTCCTTTGTAATTTCTTGCAAGATGATGTCTAGACTCTTTTTTTTGGTCATAGCTTTCAGATAGTCCAATAATTTTAAAATTATCTCTCTTGGATCTATTTTTCCAAGTGACTTGTTTTTCCAATGAAATATTTCATGTTGTCTTCCTTTTTTTTTTTCATTTTTATGGTTTTGTTTTATTGTTTCTTGATTTCTTATAAAGTCATTTGCTTCCATTTGCTCATTTCTAATTTTTAAGGAATTATTTTCTTCAGTGAGCTTTTGTACTTCCCTTTCCATTTGACCAATTCTACTTTTTAAGGAGTTTTTCTTCTTTAGTGAATTTTTGTATCTCTTTTACCATTTGGACTGTTCTGTTTTTAAGGTGTTGTTTTCTTCGGTTTTTGTTTGTGTCTCCTTTACCAAAGGACTCTTTTTTCATGATTTCTTGCATCACTCTTTTCTCTTCCCAATTTTTCTTCTAGCTCTCTTACTCAATTTCCAGTATCCTTTTTGAGCTCTTCCATGTCCTGAGACCAGTTCATATTTTTCTTGGAGGCTTTGGATGTTGGAACTTTGACTTTGTTATCTTCTTATGAGAATGTATTTTGATCTTCCTAACTTTCTATGGTTAGAATTTTTTTTTCTGTTGTTTACTCATTTTCCCAGTCTATTTCTTTACTTTTGACTCTTTGGTAAAGTGGGGCTCTGCTTCCAGGGTGGAGGGTGTACTATCCCAAGTTTTAGGAGTTTTTTGCAGCTGTTTTCAGAGATACTTCTAGAGACCTGTAAGTTTTCAGTTCATCCAAGGAGTTATGATCTAAGGAGAGGTGTCTTTACTACTACTCTTTCTGTCTTTACTACTACTCTTTCTGTCTTTACTACTCTCCTGTTGCTTTGGTCTTGAGTGACCAGAATCACTCTTCTTTCCCCTGGGACTGTTGAGGAGGGTCCCTGCTACCCTGGGGCTGCAAGCACTGGTATGCTAGTGTTCTTCCTTGCCCTGGCATTGCCACTCATGACTCTGACCCAGATCCAAGTATGGGCAGAGCAACAGAGTCCTGCCTCAGTGCCAGCAAAGAGACCCTGTAATTTCCTTCTGCACTGGAGATTTTCTTATAGAAAGAAATGTCTGCTAAAACCCTTGGCCTAAATCAGCCATGTACCTGTTTTGGTGCCCCTGAACATGTCTTCAGCTTTGCTCTGTCACCCATTTTAGTCACATCATTTTACAATGTGCAGAGGTGGTACTGCTTATATTGAATCTTAGATATTTTTGAAGGCAGCCAAGTCTCTTACTGACAGCAAAATTGCTTCATTTAATGAGAAAATGCTGGTGCCCATCAGGTAGGAGGAGAATTTAAATAGAATGTTAAAAGCTTTTTATTCTTTTTGGAAGGAGAAAACCTTCTGGAAAACTGGAATTTAGATTAAATTAAGTAGTTTTTTTAAAAAGGTAAATCAGAACCAGTTGTGGGCTTGTGCTTATTTAAGGGTCTGAAGATATGATTTTAAACTGGGGATGCTGCTTTTCTTGTTGAAATCATCTTATCTTTATGATTTGTAACATTTACATATGTTGAAATAAGCAGCCCCGATTCTGCCAAAAGATACAAAGAAAACATGAATGAATTTGTGGAAG